TGAGAGGACAAAAAAGGCTGTCAAGAGGAGCATCGAAATGGATCCCAGATTAACGACTGCAGAAATGGCCAAAGCTGGTGGAATGAGCCCGAAATCTGTTCAACGGATTCTCCACAGATTGGGTTATCGTTGCAGAGCAGTTAGACGGAAACCCTTATTAAGACCTCCCAACATAGTCAGACGAAAGAAGTGGGCAAGTGATATGATGACCAAGCCTCTGGACTTTTGGAAGACCGTATTGTTCTCAAACGAATCAAGATTCGCTCAATTTTCGGACAGTGGGAGGATGTGGGTCTGGAGAATGCTTCACCAAGAGTTTTGGCTCAACAGATTGCAGCCAACTGTGAAGCATGGTGGTTTCAGCGTGATGGTTTGGGGAGTTGTTTGGGTTGATGGAAGATCGAGCTTAGTGGAGTGCGTTGGCAACATAAATTTTGCGAAATACGTCGAAATATTGGAGGAAGAACTCTTGCCACTTTATTCCTCGGGGTTCGTAGACAAGAACGCAACGTTGTTCCAGGAAGATGGAGCACCGTGTCACACTGCTAGAAACACCCAAAAGTGGCAGGAAGAAAATGTTATCCAGAAGTTGCCCTGGCCGAGCCAATCTCCTGACATGAACCCAATCGAAAACCTCTGTGCCATACTCGACCGGTAAGTCAAGAAACAACCAAAAAAATCAACTTCAAAGAGCGATCTACTCCAAGTTTTGAAGCAAGAGTGGGCGAAAATATCACAATCTAAAATTGACGAGATGATTCTCACGATGCCTCAAAGGATCAACGAACTCCACGAAGCGAAAGGAAGATCTACTAGATATTAATTAAATTATAAATATATCAATTCATGTGAATATGACTGAAAATTTTAATTTTTTTTCTGAAAAGGTGGTGTCTATTTACTTGTGACCACGCTGTGTATATATGAATTTTATAATTATGACATTTATCAATAATTAATATAGTAATGATAATTCTTTACACTTATTGTATTTAATTACACAGTCTACAATAAACTGATTTACATTTCAGATGACACCAATCATGCAGGAATGTGTTGGGGTTCTTATGGAAAAAATTGCCCAAAAAGCCCAAACAGAGGAAGATTTCGATATATTCGAGATGTACCAAGGATTGTCAGCTGATGTCATCATTCAAACTTGTTTTGGAATGCAGACGAATGGCCAGCGTAATCCAAAAGATCCAGTTCTAACCAACTGTAGAGCTTTTACAAACATTCAGACTACTGAGTTTCTCATCTTTTTGATAAGTATGTTTGAGTTAGGTTTTATTTCATAGGATCAGTCTATATAAAAAGGAAATGTCTTAATTTTTTGGAAAAGCAGACAATTGAAAATCAAATATCCAATCCTCATATTGTTATTACATCTATAACAGTACTCGTGATACGTCACACACAAGTTATACATATACAATGTATATATATATATGTGTGTGTGTGTGTGTGTGTGTGTCGAATAACAATCAAAGTCTGTTTTAACTTAACTGGTGTACTAGTTAATTTCATTTTATCTTTTTACTTTAAGATATCATAAAATACCGTTAAGATTTTCTTTTTTGGCAGAAACATGTGTCTGACTATGTATATGTCTATTGAAAGTTTGCATAATTTATTCTTAGGCTCAGTTTCTTCAAAAGACAATATAAAATACTCATACTACTTACTAGACGAGAGAAGCTTTAAAAATCAATAACCGAAATATCGTTACTATAATTGAATATTTCTTTTTCTCAAGAGCAATACACACAAGGGTTGGATTTGAAGAGGGGATGGGGATCTTGTAAGAATGAAACTTAGTCTTAAGGCTTGGAATGATATACATAATGTCAAAGTTTAAAGTTTTGAACAGAAAGAAACTACTTTTGAATGAAGATACAGTTCACGAGAACACACGTTGAATTATTTGATATTTCGATGTAGATAAATTTTCATTCAAATTTATAAAGAGATTTACTGAAAAACGACTTTGATTACAGTGTGCTTTCCTGAGCTTTACAACATCCTTTATCCAATTCGAAAACTGGTGGATGTCATATGGCATCAGATATTCTCAACTCCAGCAAGATCCTTAATCGAAGGAATTACGAAAGTCATAGAAGAGAGACGAAAAAATCCAGCGGTAAGAACTTTTCTGTCTTTCATCATATCGATAATAACCGTTACTTTTACTCAGTTTACGGAAAAAGACAATTCCAAATTATCCCGAAAAATATCCATAAAGAATTCTAGCTAAAGTTGTATTTGAAGTAATTTCATTTAAAGACAGTGTTTCTCATCAGTATCAGAAATCATTATTCACTGTATGTGATAAATTGGACTTTTATTACGTATATCTCAGAATTGATATAATAATTTTCAACCTGAACGACGCCTTACGTTCACGTAGGTTAAATGACAAGTTAAGATATCCCTAGTGCTTAGAAATAGCTATTACTAATTATTCAGTTTTATAAAGGGCTCACATTTAAAAATAAGAAGCGGTTTTATCACCATCAAATCTCTAATGTTCAGTGTTTAGATCCGCAGCCTGACACGCTATCAACAAGATAATGCTTGGTCAAAATAGGTTTGTGTGTGATTTAATCTAATTTAATCTTGGGAATATCAGTTATCAAACAACTTTGAAAACTGTACGTCTAATTAAACGATTCGACAAAATACTGTTGTTTGATATTTAAGTATCTTTATTTAATTAATTGATAAATGTAAAACAGGCTATATAAAAAATATATCTGATAAATAATATTGTTTAATATTTAAGTATTTCTATTGAATTAATTGATAAATGTAAATTATTATTGTAATAAAAAGTGGAGTAGAATATCATGATATATTAATTTGGAAGTTTTTTTAATTTTTTACGACATTTACAGGCATATAACTTAGATAAACACCGATTTTATTTTTATATTCAAAGGTCAGTAATACTCCTTTGAATAACCTTGAAATTCTACTATAAAATTGTTTTACTGGTAAATCATCATGCTATGCACGTGTAAAAGTTTTGTCTTTTCTCCTATGTTTTTAGCTTCGAAGAGTTGATCTTCTTCAGTTGATGTTGGATGCTCGAATTGCTAAAGAAGACATTCAAAATGTGACTGCTAAACACCTGACTGCTGGTGAAGACGAGCCAACAAAAGATGTTTCTAAAGTCAAAGAAGGTAAACATAAACCTAACATATTTCAAGGATTAACTGCATTTAATGTTATAGGATAGTAACATAGGTTCTTCAAATTGTTACATAGATTCATAAATTTCTCTGTGTATTTCATTGTTCTTTTGTAAGAACATTAATCCCTGCCCAGTAAGTTGTACTACTGAGAGAATTGTGTATTGGAATAGAATGTGCTTGCAGTCATCAGCTTTGTGTAGAGAGTACCAACAATGTTGGTTGAGTTGCAGCACCAACCTTGTACTGATGCTCAACCATGCTTCATTGTAGATATAGTAAGTTGATTCTGATACCCTTCTGCTCTCCGCCCTCAAACAAACTCATGTTCATATTTGCTAAACAGTTCAAACTTCACATCACGTTCATTGACCAGATTTGTAAAAAACGTATATAAATAGATGGTCAAATCTCCATTTGGTTACGTTTTATACCTTTTTTGCATTTATTTGATCAGAAACTTCGAAAGACGGGAAGAAGCAGATCAAATTTAACACAGATGGGGAAATTACAGCAAATTCTATCACTTTCTTACTGGCCGGGTAAGTCTAGTGTCCACTTATTATATTAAGTATAATATCTATGTAAAATGACCGTACTTAAACTGTGTCCTTCGGGTATGGTTAATACTATTATAGGAAAAGCAATTGAAATAATCTCTTGTGCCACTGTATGTGAAGAATATCTTTCAAATATTCGTGCAATTAATATTTGTCTAATGATGAAATACCACAGTTAAAAAT